AATACAAGAAAATCCTGAGAATTTGTTATCCTCAGGAAACTTGGTTCCTTCACATAGAATATGAATTCATTGAACAGTTTTTATTTAACATAGTGTAAAATTAAGTATTCATTATAACGATAAAAAAAGCAACTTAGAATAACAGCACTTTTGAGCAGTCCATATTTATTTTTGTTCCTATGTGTATCTACCACTTTGACTGCTCCCGTGGAGTCAGTTAAATAGGCCGTACAATCAGGTGTGTTCATCATCGGATTCCCGAACATCATTCTGCCTAGTTAAGTAAAGGACAAACAAAATCCATGCATAGGTCTATTCTAACTAATCTTGTGGATACATAATATAAAACTGTTGTTAACGAGGCTTTCAAAGTCACCTACCGCATACCAACTAGTCTTAATTTTACCTTAAGAGTTCATCTACTGCATATTACTGAGGCCGTTGGGATCCACATTAAGAAGTTTAACTTATGTATGTGAAAGAAACTGGTTCAGACACTGTCCTTCCCCTCCTGCCCGTCAAGGGTTTAACTATCCTAAATTTGTTGCGGAAATTTCCTTAATTTAATATAATATTCTATTTGCTATTACACTTTTATGCTTATTATAATTTATGCATCTCTGGTGAACTGTAATTCCACTGACCTTAATCAACAATTCGACAGTATTAAAAAAACACCAATATTGTGAATGGCGACTATTCTAGAATATTATATATATATATATAATCGTTGATCCCGAAGAGGAAATTATCGAAAAGGATATTCTTTGCTCAATTTGTTTTTTTTTCAGTAAGCCGTTTGCACTATACTTCAGGCACTCATTCACTGTCCTTAGTGCAACGGGATACTTACAATATTTCAGTAGTTTGTGTAAAAAGAAGAGGCATATCGCACCATGGAACTTTATAAAACCATTTTGAGAATGGAAGTAAATTAGGAATTTATTATCAATAATAATATGGAAACTTACTATTGGTGGGATTTCTTCTATTTGGATAATATCCTCTAAACATTTTGTTTTTGAAAACCAAAGATAAAATCATGTTAACTTATGATAAAAACTTATTATTTACTGTTTGACATAACCATCATAATCCGAATGTCATTAAACAAATAAATATTTCAGGATTTCATCATGAGCTGACATTAGTAAGAGAACCATTGGAAAACCTGGGAATACTGGACAGCTGTTTCGTCCTAGTTTGGGACTCTTCAGCAGTACGCACCCATCGGGATTCGAACCCAGGACCTTCCGGTTACAAGGCGAGCTCGTATACCATTAAGCCACTGGGACCCGATCCAATGGTCCTTGAATTCTAACTTCTGCCAATTCACGACATAGCGCGACCGCTAGCCAATGTCTTCGGCGAGTATTTGTCCTCACACCCGACCAGCTGCACCCTACTGGTCACGACTTCCCACTGGAACTCAGGTAACTACCTAGCTGAATAGGGCCAGTCACCAGTGAGCATCTCATTGGTATTCAAGTGTTGGTTTGTGGGAAGTCGTGACCAGTAGGGTGCAGCTGGTCGGGTGTGAGGACAAATACTCGCCGAAGACATTGGCTAGCGGTCGCGCTATGTCGTGAATTGGCAGAAGTTAGAATTCAAGGACCATTGGATCGGGTCCCAGTGGCTTAATGGTATACGAGCTCGCCTTGTAACCGGAAGGTCCTGGGTTCGAATCCCGATGGGTGCGTACTGCTGAAGAGTCCCAAACTAGGACGAAACAGCTGTCCAGTATTCCCAGGTTTTCCAATGGTTCTCTAACTAATGTCAGCTCATGATGAAATCCTGAAACCAATCAAATCCCTACAAACCAACACTTGAAGTAAATATTTCTTCTGTTGATGTCAGATGGTTGGAGGCAATTGGCATGAAGCCCTGCTTCGACCCATGTTTCGTGCTAGTTCGCACTTACCAGTCAGTCAGCAAGACGCATCTGCAACCTTGAAGGAATTCATGTCCCTACTGAAATCCTTACATGCGTCACGCAGTGAGTGCTGCACTCAGAGAAGTTACCTCTCAGGTATTCGAGCTAGCGATTGACTCCCTGTAGGACTGTATTGGGTACTTTGATTGCACACTGGTTAGTAAATGGTATAATGTGTTCAGTCCTTTCTTTGGTGCAGAGTGAATTCTATCAATCAGGTTTGCAATGTGCCAACAATTTTAACATTAACAATTCAAAATGCACAGTGATGGCAAGCTAACTAGAATGGTGGCCACATTGCAAACCAGACTGACAGAATTCAGTCTGCACTAAACAAAGGACTGGACACATCACACTGGTTACTAGTGTCCAATGAAAATAGTTCTTCTTCCTAACAGTCCTGATAGTATATAAACGAGATCTGGTCAGTAAATATTAAATTTTAAAAAGATTTTTCGAGGTTTAGACTAAGTTTCGTCGCTAAAAATTGCTGAAGCAATGGATTAGTTTATCTTCTCGTTGTTCACGAAATTCCTAGTAACAAATTTTGCTGAAAATCGTTCAACTTCATATAAAGAAATAAAAAAGGATCGCACAGAGTAATTACGTCTGCGCCATGTCACCAATAGTTGCTAACCAATGGTTTCTAGAATCAGGAGGACCTCATCAAAGTAATCTACACCACCAAAGTAGGCCAGACTAAGTATCATAGATTTCAGGTATTTGCAACATTTTTGTTTATTATTATTATTGTTATTATTGTTTCCTTGTGTTCCTAGTGGAACATACGGCTTCAACTGCACGTCCCACTTGCTTTTCTCTCTCTTCCGCTGTACTTTTCACCTGCATCCATGTTAGTCCATACTCTTTCAACTCCTCTTCACACGATCTCCTCCATGTCACCCTCGCACTGACGTCCCACTCACCGCTTCCTTTTCGGCCTGGTTCCACTCGAGCAATGGCCCGACGCGCAAGCGATGTCACCCACGGGCCTCCTCAGCGAGTGTCTAATCCATCTCAGTCCACTTTCTGCTACATATTTGTTGGTTGGCGATTGTTTCTTGTTTTATTTCTTCCCATAGTTTCCTATAGTTGGTGATTCTTTCCGGCCCGGCTATCTGATATTCAATATAGGGCGAAGACAGTTGTTGGTTGATAAAGTTCTGCAACAGGCTGTCGGAAACATTCTTTGTGACCCGCCCGCCGAGTTTCTGATCCGTATAGAAGAACTGACTGGCTTGACGTGTTTGTATTGAAAATCCGACCAAATTTTGTTGTTGATGCTGAGTTGAGTTACGAAGATTTCCAGATTGGTTTTAGGTTGATGAATATGTTTCTCGCCTTCTCGATTCTTGCTCGATTTGATATCCTCGTCCGTTCCGACTTCCTGCAGTTGAGACAATGCTCCCAAGATAAGTGAAGTGAATGAAGTAACCTCTTTCAAATCCCTCCCGTTGATGGTGATTGACGGTGGATGTTGCTGTTGTTGTTGTTGGCTGGTTATTTTCATAACCTATGTCTTGTCTATGTTCACCTGGAGTCCTGTCTTCACTACCTGCTTCTTCGACCAGTTTGACGGTTTTCGCTTGTAAGTCTTCGATTTTGTGTGACATCAAACATAAATCATTCACACACAAAATGCAGGTCTTCTAGGTTCTTCACGTCAGTTCAGGATATCCCTGTCTTCTCGTTTCTCACTGTCTGACGCATAATCCAGTCATTCCACCACGATTAGGAACATCATTGGTGATAATAAGCACCCTTGTCTGACTCCTGTGTTTATTCCAAACGCCTTGCTGAGTTTTCCGTTGTGGATTACTTGACGTGTCCCGTTGTCGTACAGCTGTTGAATGAGGTTGATGAACATTTGGGGTACGCCGTAGTACTCGAGAGGTTTCCAAATTACTTCGCGGTCAACGCTATCAAAGGCCTCCTCAAAGTCTATGTAGTTGAGGTAGAGGTTTGACCAACTCAAATTCTTTTACAACCTAATTTCGCTTCGGATAACACTTATATGTGTAATATCTGTAAGATCATATCATATACGTTTGTACACTTTTCGTTTATTCATAGTTTATCCTTATAAAACGAACACTTGCATTTTAATATCTCTTGTCCAAATAGCTTTAAACGTGGTCTACTCAGGACTCTGTACTATAGAGAGAGGAGAATATGATCTATAGAAAAACTAGAGGAGGAATTTGAGTCCCTTGAAAAGATATTGAAGAGCAATGGGTACCCTCAAAGGTTCATCAACAATTATGGAAGATCTGAAGTCACAACTGTAAAACAAATCACTGTGGGAAAAAGCCAGTCTATGTCCAGCTTGATTATAAAGGTGAAAACATTGCAGCGATGATCAACAGAAGGCTGAGTACGTCACTAGCCATAGCCTATCCTGCAGGTGAGCTCGTTCCCGTCTATCGAACACCCTTTTATTTGATGCAGTCAAAAATCGATAGATATCCTCTCCAACTGTATATACAAATTTACATGTATCTGTGGCAGCAGTTACATTGGAAGGACAGAAAGAAGGGCATATCTAAGGTTTTCTGAACATGTGCCAAAAAGCTTACATCGAAAGGGAACAAACGCTTTAAACAGTGCCATCGCCAGGCATCTCCTTGACACGGGTCATGAGGTGGACGTCGGAAAGTCGTTCAAAATTATCAATAGGAAAAAGAGCTCAATTCTCCTTAAGTTTGCTGAAGCCATTTCCATCAAGCGCCTGAAACCTTTTTTATGCGTCCAGAAAGTAGCGGTTATCAGTCTCTCTTTGCCCTGGTAACTGGATATTTTCACCTATCTTTCTTCCGAAACCGAAATGCTAAAAGTTTCCATTGTATATGATTATTATGGTTCGAAAACGAACACAACTGAATAATACAATGCTGCTACGTATTTTACTTGGTCAGTAGAAAGCTTTCAGCATTTAGTACTAAATAGATAACTTAAAATAAATTACATTCAAGAAACATACCTGGATCTTCAAAGTCAGCTTCGAACCGCAAGCCATTGACTTGAAGCAACTTGTCCTCCTGTATTTTCGCCTCCTCTTCTTTATCTTTTATTTCCTCTCGTGCCTCCCATCGGAAGCAACATAATCATCACTCTCTTCTTCCTCTTCATCTGTTTCAAAAATATCTTCAAAAATATCATCAAATGTAGTGGAACGGTATGTTTCTTCTTCGTCCTTCAGTCCTTTCTTTTCCTCTCCTTCCTCTTCTGAGGGTTTTGAGTATAATTCCTGGTCAGATTTCTCTTCTTCCGCCTCTTTAATCGTTATTTCTGGTATTGTTCTGGATTTGCCTAGTTTTTTCTTAGATTTTGCCATTACTTCACTTATTCCAGATATTTCTGCTGGTTTTTCATGTCTGATAGTCGGACTTTTCAAATGATCCTCTTTTTGTGGTTGTTTCGGTTTTGTAGTTGACTTTTTACTAACTTCCTGTACTACATGCTCTTCTTTTGGAACAGGCACTTCCTTTTTTTATTTAAAACAGTAAGATTGTAAAATCAAGTGAGTGTTGATAAAAATGAAAGAAAAATTTCAAACGAAAATAAAATTAAGTTTTTAGTCTACAAATCAGGTATAAATATTATTAACAAACTTACCCAGTCTTCTGGAAGTTACATACAACTGCTTTAATTATAATAAATAATAATTTCAATGATGGAATATAATTAGTATTGCCTATTTCTGAGACACGTCGCCGAGTTTATGTATCGTTTAAAAATATTTAAAAACAGAATTTAGTAGGTAAAAAACAACAACGAACAACTTGACCCTGTCATTCCTCATTAATGATTAATTCAAATATCATTATGTGAGTATTACATATCCTTTTTGTTTATTCCTTCGCGTTCCAAGTGGATATAGTGCTCCAAGCTAGATCTTTGAAGTTTCAGTAATAGTGGCATTTATTTCTACGAGATAGAGTTACTAGCTCCATACCCAATCTCCTCTTTTTATTAGTCCTACAACCAACTTAGAGAAATTTCAAAGTACCTCAGCCGGGGTTCGGACTCTGAACCACATGTGTGGTTGGCGAGCATCCTACAGCTGAACCAACGACACACCAGTAAATAACTGTAATATACGTTAATGGATTTTTAAAAAATGACACTTAGATGTGGACCCATTTACCATGAAGGCCATCGTGATCTGCTCTACACGAGAAGTGTTATTTGTTTCACTTATAAACGTCGAGGACGTTAACCTTACTTTAAAATACCCCTAAATATTATTTCAGCTTTACTCTTTCCACAGAAGTATTTGTGTGCATTCCTAGGTCACAAGAAAACTAAAGTTGAACACTCAACAGATATATATAACGAAATATATTTTCATTTAATTTTTGTTATTTGATAATTTTAAACAAAGAATTCTTTTTCATCATAAAAAGTATAATTTAATAGTGTAAGATAGCAGGAAATTTAACCAACTTAGATTCCCTATAATTTTGAATGTTTGGGTAAATTTCTCTCTGACGTCTTATCTGTTTATTAACAGTTGATATATTTTTTCTTTTGATTTAAAGTATATTTATCGGAATTCTCCTTACCCTTGTTCTTTGTCTGGTAATTTTTATCGACCTTATTCTCAGGAACAACATGTGTAATTTAATTTAAAAGCACTTTATTCCTATGAATATCATTAGTACCTTGTGTTTTCGCATCAGTTTTCACTTTGTCATTAAGAAAACGAGTTCGCCTTTCTTTATACTATTGAAGAATCTTTAGAAGATATATATATATATATATAGACTAGGGTAGTATCAGCCGAAGTGTTTTGTGCTAAATCTGTTCACACAGGGAACTGTTGATATGCACAAGGAAAACACTGATTTGTTCAATCTCTTTCGCTACCAGGGCCTTAATTCCTTTAATGACCCACACAACAAAAAAGGTATGTAATTTATCCTCATTCACTTTGGCTTATTCCTCTTTTTTTTCAATCTTCCAAATTTAAAAATGTACTTCATACGTATTCTGATACTCTTACTTATATGGACAGTATTCCTGTTCATTAGCGTATTAGCTTTAATGAAAATCTCTTCTGAACGCTAATCATCACTTAATGTTTTTGGATTGCTTAACATTACTCAACGAAGTTTCACAATTCGTCCATTTTCTCTTCCTAATTTGTAGTTTCATATATTTATTTACCACGTGATATTATTGACTAATCCTTGTAGGTGCTTTCATGACCTTTCGGAACATCATGTATTTCTAAAGCTTTGAAGACACGCTACGAAAAGAATATTTTTTTCCATACATTACATACGTTAAATCTAGGTCTGTTTAGTGAAGAGTAGAAGACTGGCACTTATTCTTGGAAAAAACGAGATTTTTAATTGAAATCTAGACATATTTATTATCAGCTTAACAAATGTTAAGGACGCAAATTATTCAACAAATTTTATGTTTTATTGATATTGATTGATATAAGAATGAAACTTGTGCACTGTGGTAGAGTATAATTTCATTATGGGTAAAGTTTCGTTTTGATAAAGTCTCACAGTGTTATACAGTAATGTTTACTGATGACGTTTCGAGCACATTGCTCATAATCATATCAAGGTAACCACACGACTTCCTAACTTCTTTTATATAGTTCCATTGTTTTTCCCTTGATTTTCACTTGATTTGATTGGTAGTAGTATTTTCCATATTTCGGGTATGAGTGATGAATCATTCCTATTGCATGTGTTTGGTGTAGACTTGATGAACAAGGATTCAGTAATCAATCTCTCTCTCTCTCACCACCTACATAGATTACTTCTTAGAATTTTAACCCTATCACACCCTATTGTGTGGCTGTGTGTTAATGAATGCATTGCAATTGATGAGCTTTTTTCTAAATTACTTATCTTCTCAGGATCAACCATTCTAACCTTAGCTAAATTCTTATGTTCCGACAATCTGATTACCCCTGACCTACTGGTTTGACCTATGTAGTTGACCTCACTCACAGTCATTGCAAGGCAATTTGTAAATTATATTACTTCGTCTAATTGGGTCAACCGACAGGGTCATTTAACCTACAGAGCTTGTCCCTGAGTGAGTTTATGGGTTTGAATGCTACCCTAATTCTTGCTTTACTGAGAATCCGACGTAGGGTCTCAGATGTCCCTTCTTTATATGGTATAACTGCAGATGACTTATATTCTCTCTTATTTATGTTATTATTACTAGTTTCACGATTAATTTTCTTTTCTTTTAGCTGTTTTCAACCTGCTCAATGAATGTTAGAAGATAGTTATTCAACACCAACGCCTCTGCTATCTGTTTTATTTAATCATTTAGATCTTTTCTTGTACTATTCAGTGCTACTGCTCGGTTTGTTCAACAACTGACTAGGCCTCCCTCAACAGTTAACGGATGAGATAAATTAAAGTCGAAATATATATTAGCAGAATGCGCTGGCTTTTTTAAACGCTAGTTTGCAGTTAACGTTCTTTTATTCGTTTTATTTTACAATCTAACATCGCTAATTCTCCTAGTTCATTTTCTGATTCAAATGTGAATTTTATTCCCTCCACTAGTGAGTTTATGTGTGTCAAGAAGCTAGAGATATGTTCTGTTTTTAACACTGTGAAAGTGCCATCCACATATCTCCACCATATTTTTGGAGTAGGATTAAACGTGTTAAGAGCCATATTTTCCCAGCTATCCATAAATGTGTTATGTTTTCTTGTAGGACTACTCAGAAGAACTTGACCACAGTTATTTCACACTAGGTCTGTGGATTTCATTTGAAAGCTTATGGTATTATGTATCCATCACATCTTGCCCACACTTCACAGGTAAGTGATTTATAGACTTATTGGATTCAAGGCAAAGCTCATTTTTTCCGTGAAAACGCGAAGACAGATTAACTGGTGATCCAGTACAGATTTTACCATAGAATTACATTTATTTGTGGTTCTACATTCCATGAAAAAAACAAAAGTAGAAAAAATAAATGTGGTGAAACTGTATTACGGGATATTATATTAGCGCAATTTCTGAGGTTCTAGGATATCACAAAGGGAAAATATACCTGTACTAGAGTGAACGATTTTGACCTATACCACTACCAGTTTCCAGTCAATGATTTGTAATGACTAGACCAAATATACTGCATTTTTCTGTATAGGTCACACTGTCTCTAACTCTTTTCAACTAGGTCCTACTTCTGGTTGCAATGTTTATTTTCGACAGCAATGGTTTGGCATGTGAAGCACATAATCTGGCCATTTTTAAATCGTGGAAGCAAGCACCAAGCCATTGAATGAATGTTTCTCCTTACCTAACACTACAGCGGACCATATGACTTTTCATGTTGTTTCAAACTACTGAACCGAAATTCAAATTCACAATCTACAAATTAATTTTTAATTTATACAGTTCAAAGTGTAATTCCACCATAGATCATTTTGAGAACCGAAATTATACGGATGACAGTATTTGGTGTGGTTGGTGCCATATATGGTAATTAAGAAGGTGAGCATATTTACAGAAAAACTACATACTACTGATTGTTGATACTGGATGGTTGGAGGCGGTCGGCGGGAGGCCTTAGACCTGCTTCAAAACAAAGGACTGGACACACTACACTAGTTGCTGACTAGTGTCCAATCACAGTATCCAATACAGTCCTACTGGAGGTCAACCGCCACCCCGAATATCTCAGTGGCACCGTCTCTGATTGCTGCATTGCGTAACGTGGGTTCGAATCTCAAAAGGGACATGAGTTCCTTGGAGGTTTCAGATACGTCTTGCTGACTGACTGGTGAGTGCGAACTAGCACCAAACGTCGGTCGAAGCAGGTCTTCCTGCAAATAGCCTCCAACCATCTAGAAATATCAACAATTCAAAGTTCATGATGATGGTGAACCACCTAGAATGGTGGTCAAATTGAAAACTTCACTGATGGAATTCACTCTGGACCAAAGATAGGATTAGATACATTACACTAGTTACTGATTAGTATCCAATCAAAATACTACTGATTAACTGAGATAAGTAGTTGTATACGCCTCACATCAGCTAGTAGTGATTGTCAGCCAAATCGAAATAATCTAACCACTACCAGTTGATGTGTGTCTGTATGGTATACAACTACTCACCTCAGTCAATCAGTAATATAGAGTTCTACTGAACTAAAAGCATCTGCGTTCAGAAAAGAACAGACTTTAATTCATTCCGTCACACCTTATTTTAATTTTAAGCTAATAACTTTTCAAATTAAATACAACCAGATAGTATATTGTTTGACAACTCGTTTCTGTGATAAATGGATCGTCTGAATATCAAGAACTCAGCGAAAGTTTAATTTACCATAATAGATTCAGTCCCAGCAAAAACATAAGACTCTAATAAAAATCAATGAAAACTAATTAACTCACTTCTTTTTTCTCAGTAGTTACAAGTGATTTTCGGATACTTTTTCTTTCTTCACGTACATCTTTTTCACTTGGAATTGGTGTAGTAACAGGTGTTGTTTTTATTTTCACTTGTTTAATACGATCATGCACTAAGCGAGCAGGGATAGTTGGTAACTTTTTCTTTTGTGTATACTTGGTATCATCAACAGCTCCAGTAGACTTCTGAATAGTAGAAGGTTTAGCATCTGTGATACCTTGTGATTTACGTCTTTGTCGTTCAAGTGCATCTATGCTAGTTATAGATATGCGTGGTGGTGGTGATTTAGGTAAATTAACTGACTCCTCAATACACCTAGTCACTTTCTCATTGTCACACATTTTAACAGATTCAATTAATTCTTGAATATCTTTTATATGCAGAGCCTGACTTATTTTATTTTTTGCATCGTAACTGTCACAAATAGCTTCATTAATTATAGTAATGGCTTCTTCTTTGCTTAATCCTTCCTTTTTCAAATAATTTTGCAGTATATTTCTTGTTTCAGTGAATGAATGCAAAAATAATTCAAGACGTTGTTTATCACCAAGAAATTCTACAAACTGTGTTCTTACACTATGCATTACGCCTATAGTCGTTTTTGGATCTAATATTGTCTCAATATGCTCGATTAGTGTTCGTGGACCACCGAATAGATTAGTTAAATAATGAAATAACCATGTAGGACTAAGAATACTATTAATCATACCAACTCGAATATTTCTAGATCGAAAATATTTGTCAAGTGATTCAATACTCGATGCATCCTTTTTAACTGCTTCATAAAATAAATCCATAACTTTGTTTATTGAACCCCATTGTTCAGTCATTTCTTGTAAATACTTCTGAACTAAATCAACTGGCAAAGATCGAGTTCTTTCTTCTTCTTTTTTTCTTTCAATTGTCTTTTCAACACCTGGTCCAAAACGATCTATAGAATCTTCTTCTTTTTGTTGCGCCTCTTCACCTGGAGCATGTTCTTTATCTTGTTCAGATTCAGATAATGCTTGTTTTTCAGCTTCAATTCTTTCCAAGTTTTCTTGTACTTTAGCGAACGAAGAGTTTATGTGAATATAAAATAAAAATGGTAAAATGAGTTAAGATTTATTGTAAAATGACGGGTAAAAATGAGTATTCTAGTTTTATTCAACTAGTAGGTTGGATATTACAGTAGTTTCAATGTGTCTTAAACCTAGAACTGAGGTGTGAATCTATTGCTCACAGATTATATGTCTTTTGAAGTTTTTGTCTTACTCAAAGACTAGGAAATGGCTTTTATTCCCATTTTCTATTGTCTCCACAGTGGTGACTGAATAGTCAAGTGACAGTACTCTCAATCTTCACTAGTGATAGAGTATAGGTCGAAGTTGCTTGGAGTTCTGGTGAGAAGTCATGACAAATGGACTCCCCTAAGTTACATGTGAGGATAAATACTCCCCGATGACATTAGCTGTAGGTCATGCTAAAATTCCCTAGCTGGCAAAAGTTAGCAGTGATGGGTCACTGGGTCCCTTCTCATTTACCTTGTAACATGAATGTTCTATTTTCAGTCCACGGTGGAGTCATGAGTGAATAATGCTGAAAAGTTCAAAATTAGGATAAAAAAGCTGTCCAGTAATCCTCAGTTTTCAATGGTTCGCTTGCTGATATCGATCAGTGCGCAAACTGGACACGTTATGGTATTTATCAGTGCACTATGTGATATAATGTTATGGCAAAACATAAAGTCTTATCAAAGAAACTTAGCTTCATGTGGTCATTCTTGTAATAACAGAATGATAGTATATAATACTCATATTAAAGGTTTGATTTATACTTATGTCAGATGTTTTCTTCATTCAAAGCATATGGTTTATTTTCCATTCGTCTACCATGGTAGTGTTGGTTCTATTCATAACGGTACGCTTACAAGAAATAACTAGCTAGTTGTTTGTTGCTCCTTCGTCAGTAGTTAACTTTAAGATGTTTTAAGATACCTTCTATTTCCTAGTTGGTGAGATGTTTTCATTCTCGTGTGAATCTAGAACCAAGTGTTTTGTGGGACAAATGTAATGAATATGACTTATCCGACATTTCTTAAACTAACAGGAGAATTTAATCTGTACTCTGGATTTGTTTAGGTGGAACTAAGATATACAAAGGCACTAAATGAATTCAGTGAATCAGAATGAAACCAACATATTTGCAGTACAAAATCACACTGCTTTTATCTTCTGGTAAGTTTACCACAATATGAATGTTTAGTAATGTGGGGTGCTACAAATATACATGTAGAGGGAGAGAGAGGGAGAGGGCTTAACGAAAGGCAACTACCAGAACCCTAATTCACACAGTATCTTTAGATAGGACATAGTTTAAATCCTTGTTCACATACTTTATCACCCAACAGGGTTCAGGATGAGCCCTTTGTTATGTATCACTTGAACGTAATTAATTTGCATCTGTTGTTCTTTGACCAAGTTTGTGGTCATCTCAGTCCAGATATTACTTACCGACAAATCTAGCGGCATTTTTTATGCTTTCAGATTGATAATCCTCAAATTGCTAAAGTGTATACATTAGTCTGAGTAACCCACTTGATGGAAATATAGTCTCTAAATTAAGGTTGATCATTCAAATTAAATAATCTTCTCATTACGAGATGTTTCATTGATGAAAAAAGCATTAATTTTTACAGCTCAGCATCACATAAGTGTAACTGGAATCAAACGTATATTCTCATTCAAGTGAATTTCTAAATCTTGTTTATAAAACTGTAACATTTTAAACAGCCTTAAGAAGATTGTTTAAGACTACAAGTCAGTAATAGATACACCAATTGATCACATAAAACTTAAGTGTTTCTGTTATGCTTTTAGAATAATGATTGCCACATTTTCACAAATATTGACAGTAAACAATTTGCAAAGGTTATGAGATACATTCAGAATGACATTTTAGAATTTAATCTAAATGCATCTTAGTTCATCTGAGTTTCTTGTCTAGATCTTTCATATTTTGAAAATCTGTTCCATATTTTTTTTTAAATTTAGGTCCAAAACAATCTAGAATGCTTACTTTTCTTTTCAAAAAGTTGTTGAATTGTTTGCTTGGTAAGTTGTTTTGCAATCTGTTGCATTTTAGCTGTTTTTGCAATTCGTGCAGTTTCATCCTCTTCTAAAATATCTTCTTCATAAATATTAACACATGGCTGTTCTACTAAAGCTTCAACTTCTATCGTTGCACTAGTAACCAATTCAGCTCGTACTTTTTCGATTGCAAGAGGTAATTTATTCGACATGATAGCTTTTAGTAGACAAACATCTTTCAATGAGGCTATAGATGATAATGTTCCCATGATTTTTTCATCAGACTAATAAAAAAAGATTAAAAAAAGCATTTGCATGCTTGTTTAAGTACAGCTAGATTGTATCAAAATATATAGCTTTCTGTCCGGAGTCAGTAAATGGTCTGAGTCAAATGGTCTTAAACTGAATCCTTCTAAATATCAAACTGTTAATTTCACCTTAAGATGTAAAAGACAGTCAAAAAAGTCATCGACTCTCATGAAAGTTGTAAGATTGACGACGATGATATAGAAATTGAATCAGAAATTAAATATCTTGGACTTATTCTCTCTTCTGATCTCTCCTGGTCTTCCCATGTCTTAGAGATATCCACTAAAATATTCCGCCTGACATTTTACATTAAGAAGTTAAGGCACTCGGGTATAACTCAACCCCTCCACTTACAGTTCATAAACTCTTGCATCCTACCTATTCTTCTTTATTGTTCACCCTTATTCTTTCTTGTTGCTTAAAAAGGGACTATGTCACAATTCGTGGAATGCTGAAGACTGTCAGTAAGATGAGTGGTGTCCCAGTGGACCACATAGTTAACGTCGTTGTCGATAGTCGATTGACTTCGTGCAATAAATTTGCTAAAGTTGCTCAAGTCTGACTTGAAGCATCCACTTTACCCTTAGCTTTTACCTTGCATCTCCTCAGGTAGAACAAGAAGTAACTTCAGAAAACTGTATGCTCGCACGTCTAAGTATAGAAATTCTATGATACCATACTTGGCACGTATTTTATGTGATGAAAATAGCGTGAGGCAACAATTAACTAGCCTTTTTTCATCCAATAAATAGACAATTTCCTCCATCCATCCTTACATACCTTCAAGTTTTACTTTTATTATTTCTATTATATTTATGGTCATGTTGATTCTTTGTTTTACTCTCATAACTGCAAGCACCAACCTATCTCTATGACTGCTGTAGTCTTTGTTTTTCCCCTCATCATATCATGTAAAGAGAACATTATACTCAATATTTTTAAACATGTTAGGATTTCTATACCACATTGCTAATACTGTGTGACACAAGCCCACGGCAATTTTCACTTGTATATTATTATTATTACCTTAGCTGTTATCATTATTATTGCTATTTCCATTACATATGCTGCATGTTTTTGACATTACCCCTGTTGTAAATGTGTAAAATTTTGTGTGTGATTAATTTTATTTAAAATTTGAGGAAATTAGATGCAGTAATATTGTGATTAATGCTGAAAATTCCATTCTGTATCACAAGTACTGTCTTTGGTATAAAGTAAATCATTATTATCATTATTATTTATGTGGTACGTCTCTCTAAATTAAAGAGGTGGATATCTACAAATATAAATTTCTTCATGTAATTAAGAACACATGAGTCAGCAGAGAGATCTCTTTTTCTAACTGCACTTTAAAGCTGCACAGTTATTTTGGCGTTTATATATGCAGTATAACTTGATGTTAGAGGTCAACGGTTATTGAAAGTTAGTGACAAGGCAAATAAAAGTGCATGAGTAATAAGTGTGTCTGAAAAACTAAGGATATCTATGGTCGGCCTGCAAATTTGGGCTACCGATATCCATGCTGAAAATTCCATACTTGTACCGAAAATACAGTGTGGAATCAAGCTGTAAATCAAAAATATAAAAAAAATAAATAGTATTGCGTAGTCATAAGAGTTGATAACTAATTAGCTGAATGATGAATAATCATTTAGGAATAGTTGATATGAGACAAGGGAACAAAAGATCAGAAAATGAGTTGCAAAAACATAAAACGGACTGCATAGAGCTTATTATACATTGATTCAGGAAGACGAAGAAGGAAGAGAAAAAAGAAAAAAATTAGTACTTGAACACAAACTCCAGGTTTCTTCTTAAGGATTACTAAGGTTTCAGCTACATGAAGAAAATATAGACGTAAGCCTTGGTCTCTGCTGACACTATATGACAAGAACTAACAATATGCTTCAGAAATAAGCTGTTCACTGCTCTACATTCTCCCTTTGATAACCATGCTGTTCATCGGCACGTCCTGTTGGTACAGCCTATGTACTTTACTCCACAGGAGCAGGTGAATCAGTAAATACATCTTGGATTCGTCAACAGTGAGATCCTGTTTTTGACGTTTTGGTGAATAAGAGCATATGTGCAGAAGCTGACGAGCAGCTATCTGTTCTAAGATATCGAATGAGTAGCATTAATCAGTTAACGTTTTTCCATCAGTTTTTCATTCTGAATGGGACATAAAGCTTTGAATTTTCAGTAATAGCAGTGAGTTTTACGGAGAAGGGTCTCTAGCTTCATGCTAAACTTCTTCTCTTTTCTGGGCTTACTACCAGCTAAACGATAATTGGGAGTGGGCCAGCCGGAAATCGAGCCATGACCATTTGTGTGACTGGTACGCATTCTATCTCTAAACCAGACATGCACAATCAGTTAACTAACAGTTCCACTCAGCTGGGGGGTGTTCTATAAGTTTGAGTAAATGTTTACAACTACTTCTTCATTAAGTTCATCAGATGATGATTTGATAAGATGACACAGTTTATGTCTTATGCGTACCAATCATCCCTGAAAATGTTCTCATCTCCCGTGTGTGTGATTAAATGGAAAATGTTTATCCTTTAGTTTAAAGGTTAATTTTCAGTCCATGTAGTTAGATTTAGTCTATGGAATGAATCATTTTACCTTAGACTCTAAATACAACTGTTATTTCATGCATTCCGAATCCATAAAGGTGAGATGTAGAATGATGATAATGACAAAAATTTGCTCAGTCAGAGTTGTATTGCAAAACCAAAGATGAAATCGTACTACTTCTGGGAGAAATACATAATCATCATAGGAAGATGTTGCTTCTAGATCATATACATACGAAGCTTCACTGTTGATTCTCAGTCATTAAAGTGATCTATTTTTTCAATGCACACATAATATCATGCGAATTTTTTAAGTTTATTCATTCAGTCTTGTAATTTTTTATATTCTTCTTCGGTAACTTGATTTTGAGTAATCAATTCCATTGGTCTCATTGCACGTCTGCTCAAAGTTATACTTCGATTTGTCAGTCAGTCACTTTGTAGTTCCATATGAATATATCTTAGCAAAAGAAAGCGATAGTGATTTAGTAAAGTGGTTCATAGAATATACACCTTCCTATTATAGGCTTTTGACTACAGCTGAGATAAGGCAGAACACCTACCAAACTTTGTTTGTAATTATCCTACTAAAAAACATAAGCTGAAGATTCTCACCTTTTACCCTAACCTGACTTGGTCGCTGCCTTAGTTATAAAAGTCAGGCTATATCTCTTCAAGCCTTCGGAAAGGCATTCCTTTGCACATCCTATAGCTTACAAGATGATAATTATCACCGCTTCAGTCGTGGTCTTGACCCAAAAAGCTCTAGACAAAGTTATTTATTATTTTCAATCGTTTAATTTCTTGAGAAGCTGCATCATTCCTAATTTTTTCTGTTGAGACACTGAAAGTTGTGAACGATATCATTGCAACTTTTACTCTCTGATTTCATCACATTTAAGTGTAAATCAGTTTGTTTGTTAGTTAAGCTTCAGTCCTACTAACAATCACCCAAATAATTAATTGATCTAATATGCAGCATTGTATGGGATAATGAATATAATGGTAAACTAATTGCAATAAATATTAGTGAAATAAAAACTGATTCATTTGTAAGGGGAAATTTATAGTTATATATATGCGGTGTTTTGAACAACATTTATTTCTTATTTCCTAATACTCAAATACTCTGATGAAAACAAGAGCTTTTGATTGAAATATTCTATTCAAAATTATCCTAAAATAAGAATTAACAGTTGATTGGCATACATTAAAGAGGAAATGTTAACGTGACAGCAGTTCGCTAATTATAATATTATTAATAACATTACTAGTAATCTCATTTATCTATATTCTTTTGTAGAATTACACAATGAAAAAGGGTGATTAGGGATTAGGTTGCTTATTAAGGAACGCATTATTTGCGGTCAACAGAATAAATACATTCCTACGCCTCATAATTTAACACATCTATTGGTCTCTGGAAAGCAGATTAATGCAAAGTAGACGCTCTTAACAACTATAATACATATATATACATAACAAAGTAAGTGCATTATGTGAAAAAATTATACTTTAGGTACATTATTTATGTACATACACATGAATTCACTTTAGAGATAATAATGAAATTCGTATAAAATGATACTCACCAAATATCTTTTAACCAACTGATGAAGATGAAATCTTTGAGATGCAGAATCAAATGACACACTTTCTGAACTCTTTATTAGTTAAAGTGTAAAAATGACAAAATAAAAGAAAGAAATTTTGATTACTTTTTAAATCATGTATAAGATTATTTCATGCAATTTAGATTTTCCCATCGATTGTTTGAATCAAAGTGCTCGGTCTCAGGTTGACATGTCAGCTCCTAGTGCAGATGCTTCAACGATATCTGGTCATACAACTTAAAGTCAGTTGGTTGATGGTGACTAGCAGTGGAATCCAAAATGCGCATTTCATCCTATTTGAGACTCGTCAGATAGGTGTACCTGCATTTATCAGTGAGTAATGGTGTTCCCACTGAGGCTTGAACCCAGTACCCATAGTTTCAAACGCCAAATCGTTATTCACTACACCATTTGGGCACCATTATAGACAACCAGAGTTACAGGTGATCATTATAATAAGTTACACAAAGTCATAATGACAAACATTATGGATAAATGTGATAAAAATTTTTCTAGGTAATTCCATTGGTTCTGCTGAATAGACAACTTTGTGTTATTCTCAATGGTTTTTAATTAAATCCATTCCCACTGGTCTGAACAAGTGGACATCAGAAAATAGTGGAGATGTGTTTTTGAAGCCTTATGTTCCACTGAGAACCCAAGGAAATAATAATAATATCAACTTTGTCTACTTTCTTATTATTATCAATCATCCTGTAAATAATCGTTATTTAATGCGTGAAATTAACTTAGAATCAGTTCCATATCTCTTTGTTTATTAGATATATCACATATTGGAAGACTATTAATCACATGGCCGTGTAAGGGCTTATGGGGAATTGTCATCTGAATTGACAACAACCAGTGGTGTCCGGCAGGGATGTCGGCTTTCTCCATTTCTGTTTAACTTCATCATAGATATGCTAATGGAAGTATCCTTAACTGAACTTAACGACTTAGGAATCGACTTGTTACCGGGATATAGTCTTAGACTTAGAATATGCAGATGACATAGCCTGTTAGGGAAGGATGCTGACAAAATGTAAGGTCTTCTGAACACCTTGAGCAGCACTCTTCGTATGTTTGGAATGCGATTCGCCCCTACAAAATGTAAGATGCTGCTACAGGACTGGACCACGTCAACTCCTAACTTAGTGATAGGGAGTGAAGTGATAGAACATGTTGACCACTTCACCTATTTGGGAAGTTGTATTAGCACCAACGGACTGATTGGCGACGAAATCTCAGCACGGATCCAAAAAGCTCGAGCTGCTTTCGCTGACTTACACCATCTCTGGCGTAGGCGTGACATCCGGCTATCAACCAAGGGACGTGTGTACTGCTCATCAGTTCGCTCCGTCCTTCTCTATGGCTCTGAAACATGGCCAATACGAGTTGAAGACATGAAAAGGTTGACTGCTTTCGATCATAGATGTCTACGATCTCTTCTCACGTTAGGTGGTTTCACAAGATAAGTAATGTTGACGTTAGGCGTAGAGTGTTGGGCAAAGAGGGAAAATCAATTGACGAGGCTATAAAGTTACACAGATTGAGATGGCTAGGTCAGGTGCTGCGCATGCCTAACCATCGCCTCCCCCGACGGGCATTACTAGGTGATATAGGTTCAGGTTGGAAAAGAGTAAGTGGTGGCCAAACAAAAACATGACATCAATCCATGAAATTCTTGACAGTTAAACTGAGCCAGGCAGGGAGATGCAGACTTCCGGGTTGGGGCCCTCGGGACTGACTCTAGGAATCAATGGCTGGAAACAATAGGTGACATGGCTCAAAATCGTTGTCGACGGCGCAGATGTATTCAGTCTCTGTAATCTTTCATAGTCCTTTCTACCATTACCCATTCTGTTTCACTCTTATACTTGTCAAACTCTATTGATTCTCTTCACTCATCTTCTTGTCCACCTTTGTGTGCTATTTGGAACGTGGCAACTCGAACTGGTGCACTTCGGTGCCAAGTTCTATGTTGAATCCAGACAAACAGACAGATTAATAATTATATGCTGTTTCAAACTAAACTTGTTCATAATCCATCCGCTAAACTGAAACTTTGTTTTCACACTTCTAAAGAAAAGAATTAGGACTACAAGAACCAAGGTTCAGAATTCGATGCCTCTTTGGAACGTCATCAAGTAATTACTGTCGTTTCAATGTGTGACATATTTAATAAACATAGAAGTGTAGAATTTCAAGATACCACAACGCTAAAGTTTTACATTTACATCAAAGCCGAACTATTTTAGCACAGTTTACCAGCTGACAGCGAAATATCATATTTTTCTTTATTTTTACTAGAATTTCTTTGGAATTAAAAACAGCGTTTACACTTTCAATTTCTGCCTATATATTCCTAACATCGTAAACATCGTAAGCAGCTTAAGTTTCAACAATTTATGAATAGAATATATTAAGCATTCAAATGTGTGTATATGACAAATAGATAAATCTAGAAGTTAACCTAAAAGTTCATCAATTCAGGTTGTCAAACTTGTGAAAAGACAAAAAAAATTATTTAAGCAATAATATTATAGACGAAAGACGAGAATAGAGATCAGATTTATAAATGTTTATGTTATAAACGAATGAACTTACAGGCTTAATTTGCTTTGCAGGTTTTAAATGAAGACGAACTTTTGAATTTGGTATATAACCTGATTCGAAAAAAGTGTTTAAATATTTTATGCTTACATGGTAATCAGCGTAAATACAAAAACAATGCATATCAAAAGAATTCAGTAATGAAATCAGAAAACTCTGTCAGTGATTTGCTTCAATACGAAAATCTTTCAAAAATCAACTCTTAGTGTCAGTTTACAGCATTAGTAGGTATTCTCATAGTCCCAGATAATAAAACCAAACTCTAATATGCAAAAATGTGAATAACTAATTGTTTTGATAACAGGAATACAATTAGTATGAGCAATTAGAGGAAAACCTACATACTTAATTTGATAGATCGCCAAGACTCCTTGGACCCAGGTTTCGTGCTAGTTAGCACTCACCAATCAGCAAGGCGTATCTGAAACCTTCAAGGAACTCAAGTCTGCACCGAATAAAGGACAAGACACATTACACTAGTTACTAACTAGTGTTCAATCGAAAATATCCAATACCGTCCTACAGGAGGTCAGTCGCTAGCCCGAATAGTTCAGTGGTAATGTCTCTGACTGCAGCACTGCGTGAGGTGGGTTCGGATCTCAGTAGGGACATGAGTTCCTTCGAGGTTGCAGATACGTCTTGCTGACTGACTGGTGAGTGCCGACTAGCACGAAATGTGGGTCGAGGTTGGGCTTCATGCCAATGGCCTCCAACCAGCTAAGAACATCAACAATTCAAAGTACAAGGTGATGGCCAGCCACCTAGAATGGTTATTCTTAGTATTTTTTTACCGACTCTGATGATTATACATCAGCTTATCCAATCGCCCCTATTTTAGTACATTAATACATGTTTTTAGTGTGGTCATTAATAATGCAAATATCCTATAGGAACCCTGAAGGTATCTGTTTAGAAAATTCTTGTTCTACAGATGGTCAGACTAAGTGACATAGAATCAAATCCACGCTAAATGATGAATTTCCTGAGAAAAATAAGAGAACCATAAAGACAAACTCAATGGTATACAATGACGAGTACATGCAACTCAGGTTGGTTTATGCACTAAGCTAAGAACTAAAATTGTTGCATAACAGTTTTTCTTAGTAATTAATAGGCTTAAAGTTAGTGAGTTGTTTAATCAACAAATCGCATATCAGTTAAAAGTGAAACTGATAAAAATTCACAATTCACAGTAATATTTTTAGCAAAATTCGATTAATGTTGGGTTAGGTGAAATGAAAACGACGTCCTTAGCTAGGTACCACTGCTCAGTATGCAGAAGCCACTGGTTCTACCCAAATGTTCACTTTACTCAATAAAGTCAAAAGGATTTTAATATCCTTATAATACTGTATTTTAAAAGCTTGTTATATTTAAATGCGCGAATCTATGATCATCTAAAAACCTAATCACTAACCTTGACATGAAGCAGAAAACTAGTTAGACAAGTTTCAGCGTTTATCAGTAATTATTAGTGCCCGTGTACATTTCAAAACCAGCTAACTTCTCAGTGGAAAGCATTAAAAATCCAGGAGCACTAGAAAGCCAATTCTTCTTCTATAGCATGGATCTATAGTATAATCAGGAATTAAATGTGGAACTTCCAGGTTATAAGGAAAACTACATTGAAATTCAGCCACTGGCTTAGAATTGAGCCTTCCGTTTATTGCAGATTTTGCCAGTGCCATCCAACATTGTGCATGTATTTATATTTCCATTAGCCTTCTCACTTTAAATAAATTCAACAAATGTTTAACGAATACAGCTATCTTTTATTCCTTAACGTCGATCAATAGTTTACCCACATCTTCATTTCTTTTGGCTAGCTCAAGCATTAGTAAACACTGGGCTGTCAATTGTAACCGGTTTTCAGAAGTCAGAACATTCATTGGAAGACTTTCAGAATAGTGGAGAACATCTCAAGGACATCTGTCTCAGAGGGCAGTCCTGTTCAGAGAACTGAAGGTAATCCTACCATGAAATGCAAGTATATTTGGTTGGGAATAGATATGCTATTGTTGTAGAGATTGGCAAACAGTATGCTTCATCACCCTTCAGAAAACAGTTTTGTCTAATTTCAAATCATATTTCGTTGGTTTCAATGTAATTTTATCTTCATATCATTTCTCTTTTTGAACTTTTATTAAGTATGAGAATTTGAACTGGTACACTTTGTTTACTAAGTCCTACTTTTTTATCTTTTTCTGACATCCTCACTAACCTATGTGGTTCATTTCGGAAATAAGTACTTCTAAGAAACTTTTACCCAATCTGACTAAAGTGAGTATCATTTCTAGAAATTCGTTCCCTTTAACTATGTTAAGGGGTATGTTTAACATTTAGAAGTCTAGACATAATTTTATAATATGTAAAACTTGAATGAAGATCCTCTGATTCACTTTGTATGTTGTTCACCTTCCAGTGAGAAGTGATTAACACCCATGCTTCCGGTATTTATCATGAAGACTAGTGTTTTGGAACGATCATAAAATAATACAAAAATCTTTTGATTTGACATTAGTAACTAGTGTGATGTGTCTAGTCCTCTCTTTGGTGCAGACTAAATTCTATCAGTCAGGTTTTAATGTGGCCCTCCATTTTAGATAGCTCGCCATCACAGTGCACATTGATTTGATGATATTAGATGGTTGGAGGTAATCGGTGGTAACGTCTCTGACAGCAGCACTCACTGGGTGACGCGGGTTCAAATCTCAGAAAGGACATGAGTTCCTTCAAGGTTGCAGATACGCCTTGCTGACGAGTGCCAACTAACACGAAACCTAGGTCCAAGGCTTCCTGCCGATTACCTCCAACTATCTAATAACATCAAATACAAAAATCTGTCAGAAATCATTTACACCTACAATGGGGACTGGCTAGTTTCTCTTTAATACTATTTTATGACACTGAGTGAACTCTCTTAACCTCTAGGTTTAAATACATTGATGACCTTAATTAAATAAGCGAGTTTAAAGATGACTATCACACAGGTTATTGATTACTTTCATTTCTAATTTATCGTTTTTTGGAAATATTACACTTTACTGTTTAAATATTATCATAAGTACAAGCTAATCGTGTTTTTTTTTAATTTTATGGTATTTCACTAGTGAATAAACAAATTTCCTTCTAATGTGTTAACATATATGAAATAAAATTCTAAGAGAAAATAACTCACCGTCAGGTGCAATTACCGTAGTTGGCATATCTTTTCTTGATTTATACATATCTTTCATAATAATTAAACTATTTTCTGGATGAATTGTAATAGGTAATGAAGTATAACAATGGCTAAATGCTTCTAAAAGTTCTTGATAGTTAATATTTATTCGAAAGTCTGGAGGTAAGCTTGCTGAACGTGAATTCCTGAAAAATGACAATGTGCTTCTTCTTTTCATATGACTTATTGATAAAGAACGTGGCACTGGATGAATATGATACGATTCTGGGCTACTACCAAGATCCATTTTGTATACTTCACCCACACAAATTTTAAGTCTTTATGCAGAAATGTTTATAAAGTGTCCGTAAATGGCATACGACAACAACACCAACTTCATAGATCACTAATAATTCAAATTATGCTCATTATTTAATCGATCGTAGATTGTGTAAACTTATAAGTTATTTAACAAGTATAAGACAGACTGCTATATATCATATTATCTATCGTACTATTGTATCTTTTGGTAACTAAACTGTTTTACGATTTCCCACTTAATTATTAACACAATTTATATCCCATTTGACGGAATTACTTAAACTAATCTATGAATTCATCGAAACACTAATTAAGACAGCTTTGTGAAGTCTGTCTCATGAAGAAAATCTATGATAATTTGTGTTATCTTTTTCACTATATAAAATGACAAAATTCAGGAAACTGGTATTCAAGTGACTCGCAAACAATAAGTTTTGATCTCTGCGCATAGACTATATGGCTAAGCGGATGGATACGCTGATCATGAAAGTCTTATCCTTTGGATAAATATGCTTAACACTCGCCATAGGGCTAAAGTGATATTAATACAGGAAATATGGAAGTTATGTGAGTTACTTTACATCACTACGAGCAATAAATCATCCCCTGGAGATCATCAGTAAATAAATAATGCTGTATCACTGTGTGTTACACCACACCAAGTTTTGTTCAAATTTATTATTCATTTTTCCACAAGCCTTCGTTGCTAAAAGCAATTTTGAATACTTCACAGTTGACATCTTGTTAGCAATGATGACTCTACATTTCTTCTAAGAAAACCATTTTGTTCTGGTCTGGAATGTTCAAAATTGGCATATAACTGCTGCTTTTCTCAGCTTCATATCGGTAATATAAAGAGACATTCAAGTATTGGTTTGTAGGGATTTGATAGACTGGTTACAGGATTTTATCATGAGCTGACATCGGTTGGATTGTGGTGGTGTGATACAGACAATGTCTGCCAACGGAATATTACGCTCACATATTCCCACAGTTCAATACTGCATACAATATATCTATTTGAACATTCGATTTGATGTAAGAGACAGAATACATTTCCCACAGTTGTATACTGCATTAATTAAAGAATACTATTTATATTTGAACATTCTATTTCATGTTGTTTGATGTAAACCAAAATCACACGCTTGGTGATTGGTTAACGAATGTAAAATGTAGATATATATAAGCAGCGGTTTGACTAATGAAAATATACCTTGGCTCCAGTGTCTTGCCTTCTATTGTTACAAGATAATCATTGGAAAACCGGTAATGAGTACTGGACAGCTGTTTCATCTGTCCTAGTTTGGAACTCTTCAGGAGCACGCAAGCACCTCCAGGGTTCGACACACAGGACGTTCTGGTTACAAGGTCCACGAGCTCGACGAACCATCATTACTCCCAAAGGAGTGTTTTATGTTTTAGTCTAAGGTCATCCACCGCCATAAACTGGGAAACAGCAACTCAACAGTACCAGTGAGCTAAGAATACAGTTGTGTTATTTAAAACAATCTAAAATAAAGTTCGGTTCATACTTATAAATGAATGAAATTTTTTGTTCACCACATGTATTATTAAACTGGCGCATTATTCAAATACCGTACAAGACTTCTTAAATATGTGATGTTAAATATTTCATTTAAAACAAAAATTATATCATGATTCGTCTAGAAAACAAATTGTAAACTCAAGTATTGGTCTGCAGGGATCAACTAGAGGGACTCTTTATTAGTCCTAAACTAGGACAAAACAGCTGTCTAGCACTTCCAGGTTTTCAAGGGTTCTCTAACCGATGTAACTTCATGATGAAATCCTGTAATCAATGAAGAGACATTTTAAATAGCTTTTGTCTTTAGAGTATTATGAGTAATTTGGTTTTATTGCTGTTGCTAAGATTTAAACTATATTATTCAGTGAGATTTCGAAATACAGACTAAAAGAATCTTGCTGAAAGTTGTACACAGTGAGCACGAAAAAGAATAGGAGAGCAGATAGGTTGGAGGTAACTTGTTTCCACCGACTAGTACAAGAACAGTTAGTCTGCAGTAAATAGTATGTATATTAAGTTCGTTTGTGAGAAGATAAACTGGAATGATATATTGAGATCCATAAGGTGAAATAAAGTTCTGACTGACGTGGGTAAGTGGAAACCACTCATGTTCATCAAAGGATCTTAACACTACCATTTTCATGTTATATATGCATTTAGTCCGCTTAAGAACAGGCGAACGGCTTCAGGTTTCAGTTTGCCATTTCAGTGAAGAGTAGATGATTCAGTCTGTGAATACAGGACATTCATTATAGGTTCACGCATAAGCTCTGAGCAGATTAATCAGCTAGTGATTAAGAGAACAGTTTATTGTTTATTGTAAGTTGTTGCTGCGTTTGGTTTTACGAATATCATGTATGATGAATGTAAGAAATCTAGCAGCTTCACACATCTGAAGTACCGTATAAACTTTTATTGTAATCTTCGCAAGTTTCCCATGTTATTTGTCACTTTTTAAGCAATACATGATATTTCTTGACTGAAATTATGAGCATACTGATACATTATGTCAAAATTCATAGTTTTCGATTTTTAGAATCAAAAAGACTGTTGAACCCCATACATGAAACATCTGGCTGGGACTCGAACCTAGTCTACGGTTTAAGTTATTTTTGTTCACTCAGAGATGATCGACGATATTTAGAATTTTACCACCAGTCAACTATATCAGAGTAATCCTTGTGGTATGTTCATGAAGTTGTCTGTAAGCTTAAAACATGTAAACACCAGCGAAGTAATGAATTAATTAATGGATTATTAAGATGACTCCATTTTTGTTTCTGACTGTCAGCAATGATCAGCTGAAAGAGTTGAACCTAAGTTTCTTACCTATTGGAAAACCCTAGTAAGGCGTGTCTATAGACTTAGTAAAACAGGCATCCCCCTAGAATTTATAACCCCAGTAAGTAAGTGTAAGAGTCGGACCACTCTAACAGCAATGATTTGGATCTCCATAGATTCTATATACTGTAATTCGTATGATGACGCATACAATACAATAAAATGAATGCTTATTAGACAGCGAAAATCAGACTGCCAGAAAGTTAAGTGGTAATTTAAATTTGATTATTAAAGAAGTTTTTTATTATCCCTTTACGTTCCTAATGGAACACTGGGCTTCAAGCTAGAGGTTTGAAGTTTCGGTAGCAGCGGTATTTATTTTTGCGGGATGCGGCTGCTAGCCTGATGCCCAAGGTAAATGAGTGCGTCAGCAGGGCCTAAACCCGGGACCAAATGCGTGGTTGGTGAAAATACTACCACAGTGTCACTAACGCACTATAAAGAAGCTAGAAGTGATATATTAAATCTTGCAACAACAATAGGATTATGGTCAGTCAGATGACCTGTCATCATATGGTAACCACTTAATGAATGCAATATTTTATACTTATTATGGACATATCATTTAAAGGTGATAATACAATCAAACCACTTGTTTTTGAAGTAGAAGACATTGAGTCATACTCCAAACAAAAGGTGCTATTGTAATGGCAGGAGACAAGGGCCAAGCAACAGATTATTTATTGAGAAGATCGAAAGGTATTTATAGATTTTTATGTACATTATTGTTAGCGGAGAAGTAATCCCTTCTGATTGGTTGTTTTCTTGCTGAAGGTTATTTTGTCATCTTTTTGTAGCCGTTTCTCTGAAAATCAAGTCATGTATCTGTGATTATTCATATTTCCACACTTTAACTCCCCTGTGATTGGCTAGTGATTTTCTCAAGGTTAAGCTTTGTTATTGTTTTTCTCATGAACCTGATTGGGGACGTGAACACTGACGTAAACTGTTGTCCACAATTTTGGCTTGCAGGCAGCTCTCACTACACTATAATGCCACCACTTGCAATTTCTGAAAACTTAGGCTATCCAAAGTTGTTCGCAGATTTCTGTGTTAACCCTAAATTTGTATAAGAGAAAAAAGGCTTTACAGATAAACAAACTAACTTTGAAATTTGACTTCCTAAATAATGCATTTACACCGACTGGTAAACATTGTCGATGCCTCGTGGTTATTATTCCATCGACTGACTAAATGTTGACCAAATCTCAATTGTCATTATAAACCGTTTGTATTCTTTCTGACGATTTATGGCAGCATACTATATTCAGATATGCTTGTCGATATCTGTTTCCTTCATTGAACAGACCTAAGAAAAAGTAACGTCTTTTTCATCTGTCACTAATAAATTCACAGTATTTCTCTTTTTTTCTGACAAAAGCATTTACTTAAGAAATCGTAGCTATTGTAACTGATTTTTACTCAGAAACGTTCTACAAAATGCGTACATTGATTACATGACTTGTCATTTACTAATCACATAAATCACCAACATTCTGAACAAATCTCAGAAGTGTCCTTCAGTTCTAATTAATTTGTACGCCTCTGTATATGTTTAGTATTTTCTTAATAAAAGTATGTATATATATATATATAAATTCCAATTTCTGCACGCACTTCCATAATGGGATATACTTTTTCAGAATCCCATTATCCAATGGAGTTTGTCTGAGAAATGCACATTCATTTAATAAAGTATTAATAAACCTGCTGAAAGGCGATTCTTGACGTATATACTACGACAGTTTTATTTTCTCACATTAATTTCAAGCTAAGATTGAAATGTGCTTTTCTGATTATCATGTTGTCAGAAGTTCTCACGCACACCAGGAGTGCAGCTGCAGGAGAAGGAGGCTTAGTATTTCTCTATAGCCAAATTATGTACACGTTATCTTCAGCGCACCATTTGCACAGATCTTCCATGTTATGCTAGCTTTGATCATCATATTATGTTTCTTTCTGTTCCTTTCACGTCTCCCATATATCTCCGCATATCTGAATCATTTTCTTTCTCTGACATCAGATTTATCTCCTTGCTGTTTGATTTTTTATGAACGTACCTTTATATACTACTGATAAATCTTGTCAGTAGCACA